CCAATGGCCGTGCAGTTTCACTGCGTGAATGAAATAGGCTTCAGTTCAGGAGAAAAAAGGCTTTTTCCCATATGCGTCTTAAGCAAGACGCAGTACGAGTGAAGTATCGAAAGGGAACACCCTAACAATGTCCTAGCAACAATCTAGAACACCTTAACAACCATATAAAAAAACAACACCCTAGCATCATCCAGGATTTTGCACAAGCAATCACATGTACTTCTGTAAAAATATAATTATGTATGTGTCACCCTGAATTGACCTGGAAGTTACACCGTAGAGCCCTCCTGATCACAGGCGCAGGCCAAGGGCTCCATGTAGCGCTGTGGCCCTAGGATGTCCGTACATACCAATTAGCAGTCTGTGATTGTACTTGCTGAAAGCACATTTAGACCGTAGCTGCAGTCCAGACCTCAGAGAGGAATGTGTCCACTGCAGCACCGCAAAGTCAGACACAGCTCCAACCAAAATAAACACCTCCCTGGACATAAAACCCTTTAAAATCCAAAATATGATCCCAAAAACAAGCAGCCAGGTACCTCGTTTGGAAAAAAATATATATTTTCCAGGGAACCACCAAATTCATAATTTATGGTGTTCAGATCAAATTTAAACAGTTGTTATGTTCCATAAGACACAGTTTTGAAACATTGTTCCCCCTAGAGCTTATAAAATCACGCATAATGAGTCGTTTAATTCATGAAATTTAATTCATGATCACAAGCTCAATCAGCACTGCTTCACAATCCTCCATTAGACCTGCACCACTCAGAACACCTTAGCAACCACCCAGTACACACACAATTCAGTAATTTACAGGAGTGACAACCGCATTCTGCAACAAAATTAATTCCCGAAAACTTCAGGTAGTGACAACCACATTTACAGAAATTCTATGCAGTGTGTACTAAACCGAACCGAACAACCAGTTGTTAATGACGTATTTAAATGAGTTTCAGAGTTGGGTCTTTTCTAAATGTGCGGTGCAAGAAATTACAGGGTACTGTCTGACTCATTAGTGTTGCCAGATCTTGCTATAAAAAAAACAACAAATAAGAACAGGCCAATAATAAACTTAAATCCAAACACATTATCTTGGAAATTAGCCACATAGCAAAATATAGCGACCTGTGCCTGCCTGCTTTATTAACTCCATAAACTGGATAGCTTTATGAGCCGAGCCCAAAGACACTTCATAAGCGTGGCTTGTAATAAGTGGTCATGGCAACCCTTCAAGAGTTCACTCTGCAAAGTAGCCTTCGAAACATAAACAAAACATGACGGCTCTGTTGATGATGGTTTAATTCAAATCAAAATCCCTTTAAGGCAAGTCATGTCACTCGGCGGCCATCTTTGAAACGCCTCTCGGGCATGCAAGTGCAGCTTCTATCCCTTTGAATGGGGAAACATCAAATTCTCCAAAACAATTGTCTCATGTTGTTTCTTTTGCTCGAACAGCGTTAAAAAAGCTTAATTTTTAGGCTAGACCAGCCAGTGCGCATGCGCAGTCCTAAGAGTGCGTCTCAGAACCTTGACTGTTTCTATAGCAACCGGGACTTCTAACGGCAGCTGCAGTGACGCGATGACTTTACCGATTAGTGATTGGCTCTTTCATTCAGAAGGCGGGGCTTCCTTTGATAGAGCGGCCATATTGAGCGTTGCATTTTTCCCCATTCAAAACTATATGAGTGACACGTCTTGGGTATTCTATAGTCTTTGGTTAAAATCTACGAGCATAACGAGTTTTGGTCGCTGTTTACCAAACGCGTGAGACGCCAAAATGTTGCTATGGTTACAGCAGTGTCAGTCATTGCATTTTTGAGAGAGAGTTCTGTTTTGTACACACACAAAATTATAATTTGGGGGATTCACATCCATATTTAAATGCAGCTGTCACTCCTGAAACTTTACACTGTGTACGTGGCCATAGAAACCACAAACAACACCCTAGCAATGCCTTAGCAACCATAAAGATCACCCTAGAACCTGCATATCAATAAAATCCAAAAAATGATCCCAAACACAGACAGCCAAGTACCTCAAATCATCTGAAAACTGTTTTTTTCCCAAGGAACTACAAAATGTAAAATTTGTGGCATTCAAATCAAATTTAAACAGTTATGGTCCATAAGACATGGTTTTGAATCATTGTTCTCCCTAGAGCTTATAAAGTCACACATAATGAGTCGTTTAATTCATGAAATATCACAAGCGCAGTCAGCACTGCTTCACCTGCACCTCTTGTCCTCTGGCGCTCCGCAAGCCGATCATTCATCACCTGAACATGAGCACAGCTCTGCACCGTGATTTATTAGTTGTTCCATGCATCCATTCAAGAAGAAGTGGACAACTGTACGCACAAATGTGAAATGTGATTGGCCTGCTCTCGTCTCTTGTCTGGGAATGCAGAAACTCCCTCTCAATGTGGAATGCATTCATCTGATAGGAAGACAAGTGAGTACAAATGATGCCCTGTGTGAAGTTTCTCTTGTCACAGATACTGTATGCATGAATATTTCTGTTTCTTTTTTGACTAGGAAACTTTCCTCACAACTTTTCACCAAGATTTCCCAAAAGCCAGCTTTTGACATGCTGTTATATAATTTGTTGAAAGAATTCCTGGAAGCTTTAGAGCTGCTCTGCGTGAATAATCCAAGACAGATAAAGAAGAGTACAAGTAAACAAAGCGCAAAGCTTTGGAGGACGAACAAAACAACCTTATAAATCAAGCATCAGTGACACTTCAAATCAAGCAGAAAAATGAAGTGCAATGTGAGTGTTCCCGAACCGAATCCAACAGCTTGAAATAAACTCCACACATCTGAACATCAGTACAGAGTTGGCTGATGAAATTCCTCAAGCATTACCCAGAAGCCACCTCTCCCTGAAAGTACCGCTACACTCTAAATGATGGCATTCGGTCAACATTGAGGTCATCTGGTAGCAGCGATGGATGGGGTGTTACCCAAATACTTACTGTTCAGTGTTTTCAAACGTCAACAACAGCTGCAAACAACATGTGATTTCATTCAAAAAGACATGTTTGTTTTTGAGCATGAAGTGGATTGCATTTTAAAATAGCAATGGATTTTGGACTCATCCACCCGTGCAGTGTTGGGAAAGACCTGTTTTTTTTTTTTGTACACTCAAAGAAATATTCCAGCCTAGATTTAAAAGGATAGTTCACCCAAAAATGAAGATTCTGTTATCATTTACTCACCCTCAAGTTGTTCCAAACCTGTGTGAGTCTCTTTCTTCTGCCAAACACAAAAGACCATATTCTGAAGAATGTGGGTAACCAAAGAGTTGCTGGTATAGCCACTGGCTTCAGTGGTATTTTTCTCCATACTGTGTATGTCGGTGGAGACCATTAACTGTTCATTCTTCAAAATATCTTCTTTTGTGTTTGGCACAACTTGAGGGTGAGTAAATGATGACAGAATTTTCAGTTTTGCGTAAACTATCCCTTTAACACTATGTCAAATGTCCAATTTCCATCTCTTTGGATTACACAGTTTTAACATACACTAATAAACCTAATGTGATGCATGTTTGTCAGTCATATATAAATGAAACGTAAGAAACAGGTCAATTTCCTGTAATAGTACTAATAAACTAAATGTGTTTTAGATACACAGTTCTCACCAAAAATCACTTTTGTTTCAATTTCATACATTTTAATTAGTTAAATATTGCCAGTATAGCCGTATTTTAACCGTGTTCATACTTTTTAACTGAATAAATGTAATGATTTTCACAATGAACAGATTTATGCTGATACTAAACCGTTTGAATAAATGCATTTTGAAAATATGATTATTCAAATGAACTAAAATAGATGCAAATTTTTTGAGTGCTGAAATCTCGTTTCATTTATGTATGACTGACAAATATGCATTACACTTTAAAACAAGTTTATTAGTTTGCCAAAACTCTATAATTCAAATTATATATATGCAATTTAAATACATAAATCTTATTATTTATTATTTTTTCAAAAGCCTCAGAAAACAACCAAGCGCATGTATTTTTAAAAATCTATTTTTAGGCTTCATTCTGTATCCCTTTGTTTGTTTTTGGAGGTTTTTGCCTTTTTTCCTTCTCATCCCAAAGACAAAATAGTTGTCTGGGAAACTCCACCAGTGCTTCCCATCCACCTCACACAGCAGTGTGTTGTGCTGTTTCAATGAAATGTGCACATTTCACCAGCGAATGTTTGAGGCTTAGAAAAACCCAGGCCTTTTTATTTCCCGACTGAAAACACTCAGTTTGTGTGCGCTGGCACTCAGACCTGCTTTCCGACTCATTCCCTGCCTCTCCCTCTCTGTCTCTCTCCAGCATGTGTGTGTGTGTTTATCTGCGTGTGTGTTTTTTGATTGGAGGCTGTGTCTACATGGGAAGTGGGAAGGTGCAGCTGGAATGTTGCTCGAAGGCAAGGAAAGCGCACTGCTTCCACGCTCCAGTCCAAAGCAGCGCAACGCAGAGAGAGAGAGCAAAGCAACTTGACTCACAAGGGCACTGCGCTGTCTGGGTCAGATGTGCGAGCTACTGTGAGGAGCAGCATGCAGCTGTGTTGAATGGAATAAGCGGGGAACCTAACGTTGGTCTGACTAGAAGTTGCAGGATTCGTCGATGAAGAAGCGGAGATAATTTTTCCAAACTTAGCCAGCTTGAAGGACATCTCAACCCAACTGGTCACTCCAGTCTGGCGACATGAGGAGGGACCGGCTGCTGGTAGCCGTCACTTTGGTCACACTCTTGGCGGCCGACATCCATTTCGTCCTGCTTCCCAGACTCAAAGCCTGGTATCACCTGCCCAGAGAAAGCTGTGCATGCAGGGTCACCAATGGCAGCCTGGAGAACGGAGGTGCTACAACCGTCCCGTGGACGACAAACCAGAATTTCACGGTGGTTTCCACCGAGCGAGGCTCCAAGCTGGAGCGGCTGTTCAGACATCCACTCTACAACATCAGTCTTCCAGAACTGGTGCCCGACGAACAGCTACTGCAGGAAGAGGAGCTCATGAATTACTGCAAGAGGAAAGTGAGCCGCTGGGAGAGGTACTCAACTGTTTGGCTTCATCTTAAATAATGTGATGTGTTTATTAGCAGGAACGCACTCAGAGCAGAATGAATTGCAGGGGAAACTGGGGCTAGTTGTCACTTTAAGTTGTTGAATCAGCTTCTGTATAGACACATACTTTAAAGTGTTGACTAGGAATAAGTGTTGAACATTTCCACCAGTACTTAACACACATTGACGATAGGGGGTAAGTTGTCACAATGGCAACCTGTTGTTTACTGACGAATTTTAGAAGAAGCTTTGTTTAAAAAAAAAAACAAAAAAGCTTAAATAAGCTTATTGTAGGTTATTTGAGTTTATTGTTATTAACAACCTCATTTGAGATCTGAGAAAAGACATCAGTCAGGACATTACTGACAGAGCCAGCAGATTAAAGAAGATCAAGTGACTCACAGTGTTTGTTTGCTTGCGTTTGGCCCAGCGGTGCACAGATCCGTGTGTGGTAATGCTCTGGATTGGGACACGTGGAATTGGCATCTCATATCTTGGTGGCAGGTCACAGCGTGTGGTCACTGATGTCAGGGTCAAAGTACGACACCAAAGAACTACATTATAGTGGAAATCTGGGAATCTCACACAGTTTGATACTTTTTGCCTTACTTCAGGATTATGTTAAAAGCACCTTAATGTGTTATTTATTTTAGTAGTATTATATTATGCCTACAATAGTGTTACGTTGTTTAAAAAAGTATATATATATATATATATATATATCATAAATAAAAATTATACATTATTATATATAATTTGTATACAATTTTTAAATATAATGTATATATATATATATATATATTTATGTATGTATGTATCTATATAGTCATATACAATCATTTTAATCATATTAATAGAATTATATTATGCCTTGGTGTTTAAAAAAAAGTCATATCACATATATCATAATACAAAAAAATATAATATGATATTTATTTAAATAACTAAATATTAATTATTATGTGAATAAATAAAACAGTATTATTATTAAAACAACAAAAATAATGCAAAATTATAATATTTATTTAAATAAATCTAAATTATATTAATTAATCTAATAGTATTATGTTATGCCTTTGTGTGTGTTTAAATAAAGCAAATTTATAATATATATCAATAGATAACAATGACATATGATTGTTTTTCATTGAATATTTTTTGTATCTCGAGCTTGGCCACTATATTTTCTTCGTAAGGCCTTGCTGCAGAATCTTTGGCTTAAAAGAGCTTTTTATAGCAATGCTCCCTCTTGCCGCCCCATGGAAATGGGATTTTCAGTTTAGTTTAGTAAGGAGTTGTTTTTTATGTTATATGTTGTGTTTTATAGGCAGTGGTGTAGACAAATCACTCTTTTAATTGTACAGGCCATGATGCCGTTCAGTTAAAGTGCAGCCAGGCCAATGGGCAACATGAGTGTCTCCCACATAATCAGAGGCTTGCCATAAACCACCCACGTTAATCAGGTCACACTAAAAAATCAAGACTTGGTTGTTTCAGAAGTTGTGGGTCCGTCAGTGGTCAGCATCTCTGATTGCTGATCTTTTGGGGGTGAAAAACACCTAAAAAGTTTCCCTGCGCTGTATTTGTAAGCATAAACACACTGATGAGGCGTAATGTGAGTCTGGCTGTATGTACTGAGTCGGTGCAGTATGTGGAAGCACTGGTGACGTGTGGTAACTATGGAAGCAGAGAGAAGAGGATTCACATATATTTTCATGTGTGGGCTCCTGCTGGCTCTCTGCCACAGTAAACATTTCAAGAGTTTATATTTGCCTTTCAACTAATTTCTCTTTTCTCCATGATGTTGTCTCAAGCTGATGCTTGTAGAGGTCATAGTGACAATTTCTGAGGATCAACGGTAAATGTTTGCTTCAAAAAGGATCGATGATCTGTTACGTGCTGATTCTGTTTCTGCCAGGGACTCGATTCCATGATGCATAAAATACACCGTATACACCGAATACAAAATAGATTTAAAAAATCTGCCAGATCCATACAAAATTAAATGTTAAAGGTTGCACAAATAATAATCAACGGTAAATGTTTGCTTCAAAAAGGATCGATGATCTGTTACGTGCTGATTCTGTTTCTGCCAGGGACTCGATTCCATGATGCATAAAATACACCGTATACAAAATAGATTTAAAAAATCAGCCAGATCCATACAAAATTAAATGTTAAAGGTTGCACAAATAATAGTGGTTAAAAAACACTATATTATAGATTTATATTTTCCTCTGGTATCTAGTGAGAAATTATAGCATTTTCTTGCAAATTATAACCTCATTACCTGAATTTCATTGGAATTCCAAAAACTGAAATATGTTATTATAGTCCCGCCTTTTTCTCATGTAATATCTTGTTATCTTATTTACTCTGAAAATATATTTCACATTATGGCAGTCAATTGGGAATGTGTGAATGCCATTACTTGCTATGCCATTTAATTGATATAATAGTATTATATACCTTATAATTAAAATAAAGCAAAATTAAAATATTAAAATATTAGTTATCATTATTATATGGATATAATGTCATTTTGTTTAAAAAAATAAAGTAAAATTGTAACATTTAATTAAATAAATATTGATTATTATTCATTAATATAATACTATTATGTTATGCCTATTATATTCAATTACATTACATATACAGTATGTAGCCCCACCCTCATTTATTATCTTGTTATATTTTTCACCTGGGAGATGTCTCACAGTTACAGCACTAAATTGGGAATGTGTGAATTATATTTCATGCATGCCATTTAAATAATATAATAGAATTATATTATGCCTTTGTGTTAAAAATTAAATACAAATAAAGCAAAATTATAATATTTATTATTTATAATTCTCTCTCTATATATATAGCTCTCTCTCTATATATGTGTGTGTGCGTGTGTGCAGTTTATGGCTCGGTTCTAAAGTAATAGAAAATAAAGTCTCTTTCTATGGGAGCCAAAAATTCTGCTGTTGGCAGAGTGACTTAAAAGAGAGCTCACCAAATGTGTAATTTCTACTCGTTTCATTCCAAGTTTTTGTGCAGGAAAGTACCTCTCATTCATGTTTAAAGAGAAAAGATTTTAATTTCTGAATCTGAATATTATATAATGACAGATAACATTTGTGTAAAAGCCCAAACGATCTCTAATGCCAGCTCTTGTTCTCCTGCACAGAATGAAAAAGTTCTACATCGAGGCGGCAGCAGCTTCAAACATCACTATACTCGATCATCCCGTGACCTTTGACCCGGAGGCCAGCTGGCTGCAGTTCCATCTAGGGATCAATCGATATGCGCTGTATTCAAGAGACGACAGCAGCGTCGACAGACTCCTGAGGGACATGCAGACGGCCACCGTCATCAGCGCAGGTGATGCTATTAGATGTCAGAAGACTCGTTTCCACCGAGCGGTACGGTTCAGTACGGTACACAATTAACTCCGTTTCCATTGTCAGAAGTTGTGAATGGTGCAAAAATAGTGAACCGTACCATACCACTTTTTTGGGACCCTTCCGTTGGGGTACCTAGCACAGTAGTCCGGTACCTAAAGGGTGGAGCTAAACTCACTGCAGAACGTTGATTGGTTGACAGAAAATCTTCACTTGCGTGTGCTGCAAAGGGAATGACAACACAAGGGGAATGAAGCGTCTCCTTCACTCGTTCCACCGTGCTGCTCATGCGTGTTGGGTTTGTTTACATCAGTGTGCACAAACACAAAAAACATAACAGTGTATTTTAGAATTTTATATTTTCACACATATACACACAGACAATGTTGCACTTTCTTCTTCACGCGAGAATGACGTAGATCGCTACTTTCCGGCATGTACCACTCCTACGCAAGCTGGATCAGGGTGTACCGTACCGTACCGCTTGGTGGAAACGAGGCTAGAGAGAAATAAATCCCAAATCTGAAAAATGCTAATGCAGTATTTCTCATCTGGAGAAGCTGATGTGCAGTGTTTCATTGTGTCTGACAGATTTCACTCAGGATGAGAAAGCGTTGAAGGGTGCATGTGACTGCTCACAAGGTAAATGTATATTTTTAACACTATTGTTCTATCAAATTTTAACATTTTTAGCTGAAAACAGTAACAAAACTTTCCAATGTGCATAAATGATAAGATACACTATTTTTTTTTTTACAAAATAAATATGATAGCCACTTCTGAGTAAGAACTTCTGGAAATGTAAATTCTGACATGATACCTTTTACTCACGAAAAACATGCACTACTGTTCAAAAGTTTGGAGTCTGTAAGATTTTTTTTAAACAAATTAATGCTGTGATTCAGCAAGGATGCATTAAAATGATTAAAAGTAACAATAAAGACATTTATAATGACAAAAAAGATCTATTTCAAATAAATTACATTTTAAAATGCATTCAAATAGAAAACAGTTATTTTAAATTGTAATAATATTCCACAATATTATTGTTTTTACTGAATTTTTGGTCAAATAAATGCAGCCTTGGTAAGCAGAAGAGACTTCTTTCAAAAACATTAAAAAATCTTACAGACCCTAAAGTTTTGAACAGTTGTGTAACTTTAACAACATTAAATATAATGGACAACAATATTGTATACAATATAAAAATGTATTAGCATAGTCTTGTTAAAAAATATAACCTATGACTGTGAAATTCAATTAATTGCTTCTCAAAAACTGTATTTTACAATAAAATTTAATGTAAAACTGTATGTGTTGTCTTTTAATTTTTTCCCCCCTTTATGTTAAAGTTACGTACAGTTGATCTAGTTTGAGTTCTGTAGCTTTGACGCTAATGAGTAAAACCAATATATATTGTAAGTAATTCTGAGCGGTTTGACCAAAAATCTGTATCATGTTTTTACCTGACTGCGCGTTTATATTAATCAGAATGCATGAAACTGTTGCAGAACCACTGCATTTTAATCACGATCCAAACGAACATGCTACATATAGTATGAGCAGTTTTTGATGTAAATTAGATTGTATAATTTCAAAATTTAAAGCAAAAACACAATGGTCTGACCTTAGCTTTGTGCAATAATGCTACATAAAACCAGGGCCGTCGTTAGTGGGGAGAAAGGTGGTGATGATTATAGGGGCCCACGGCTGTGAAAGGGGCCCTCTGCAATTTCAACCAAGTGCCCGAGACCGAGATTTAATTAGAAGATAGATCATCTTCTAAAAGCAATCTATTTATTACTTTTCTTCCCTTGAAATCAAATAACTCTGATTTCATGTTGCATTGCTGCATTAACAGGAAGAAAATTATAGTAACATAAACGAAGTTCCAAGTGCCCAACCAAAGGGAACGCTAATCACTATAATGGTGAGTTT